TATCAACCTGCTGTTTTAAAGGTCAATAACTTGCAACTATGATTTTCAAGTATTTATGATATTTATCTAGATGCGCATCCTGATAAAATAAAAGACTGCCGTTGAGAGGTTAAATTTGCCACAGATACAGAGCTGATCTTCCCCCATACATCATGATCACAGAAGTGCTTTTGGTTAAAGACCCCACTGTCGTATTGTTGACAGCGGTGGAAAAATCAGTTCATTTACTTCAGTAAATGTATACCACACTATAAAAAGATTCCATTACAGTGTAGCCTACTTAAAAGTTACTTAAAAGATACTTAAAGTTACTTTAAAAATACTTAAAAGTATCACATGAAAGTATCAAAAGTAAAAGCACTCATAATGCAGTATGACCCCTGTCAGTTTAAATACCTCAAAACTGTACTTAATAATAGTACGTGAGTACCCCTGAATGTTGATATCAGACTTTATATAAAAAATGCAGTTGTCTTTTGACTTAGTACAGAATCACACATCTCTCTGCACTGTACTTAGTAGGCTTATTTCTAATCTCATTTTGCCCTTTTTAACATAAAACAGTAACCTAAAATTGGAAACTCTTTTGTTCGGGGCTTGCAGGTCCCATTGATCCCCGGGACAGTCTGTCAGAGCTGCTAAAGCCCATCTCTTACAGACTGTCCCATTGATCCCCGTGTTACCCCAATGCGAGCCGTTTCCTCATCTGCAGCCGAGGAGGGCGCATCTTCAAAGGGGGAGACTACACACCAGCAGGGGGCGGAGCCTGGAGGAGCTCAAGACGCACAGCCTATCATAAAGTTTGTCACTCCTGAGAATGCTGCCTACCTGTGCGCCAAAACGCCGATATTGCTTCACCTGGACCGTCTGCGATGGAGACAATCAGATGAAATATGATGAGGATATTATTTTTCTGTGCACTGTTTTCGACGAAAGGAAGCAGCAGCAGAGCTGAACTGAGACAACGTCTCTCTCGCCACGGTGAATTTATTCCAAGAAGAAAATAACAACAGCAGCAGCTCCAAGGGCAAATAGGTAACACGGGAATTTTAATTTGCTATCACTGCGACCAACTGTACGTGTTACTGTAGGGCCCTATCTGTTTATATTAACTGAATTGTAAAAGAACTGATCTTCATGAACATAACCAAATAATTACTAATTTGGGACATACTGCCAAATTAAATTAATTTAATGTCCTCTACAGGGGACTATAAGTTCATGTATGTGGATATCAAAGTAAAGATAAAGTCTCAGTAAGCAGAACCTTTAGTACAACACATGCACTAAAACTCATTTAACTTGGATACAGAAATTAAAAATACATAATTCTCCCACAAGAGATGATGATAGCTGCAATTAAACCTAAAAATTGTATTTTTTTTTTTAAAGTTTAAGTTTAAATTATTGTCCTGTTACTGTACTATTTTATAGAATGTAGTAAAAGCATTCATATGATTAAGATAGTTAAATATTGGCCTGGGTAAAATATGAATATATACGGAATATAAGAATATAAAGTCCAGGTTTTCAGGTCTAAGAACATCAAAGTGTGGATTATGTTTAAGGGACAATTTTCATCAGCAGAAATTCAAGAGGCTGACCTGTAGGTGTGGAGGGTCAGTTTCAGTGGGATGTAGCCTAGTGTATCATTTACTCATTTAAACAGTTAAGAAATTATGGGCAATCACACCTGTGTAATTCCTACGGGAAAGGAATCAAATTTGTACATTAATGCTGTTGGGAAAATTTGGTGCCGCTCATTGTTGCCACTGATTTTAAATTCTGATCTAATATAATTATTGCTCCTGGTTTTGCTGGTTTTGCTGGGATGTGATAATATGCACTAATATATGTGAGTTTTTATTGAATCTCTTTGTATAGTAAGGATTTTATGCAAAAATGCATAAATGCAACTTTGAGTTATTATCAGTAATTTCAAAATGCAATATTTCAAATGCAAGTCTGAATAAGATATATATGCAGTGGTGGAAGCGTATTTAAATAATTTACATTTCATTTAACAGTAGCAATACCACACAATAAAATATAAGTCATCCATTCCACTTAAGTAAAAGCCCAGAGGTATTAGAAACAAAATGTCCGTCAAATATCAAAAAAAACAAAGGTGAAGCTAATTTTAACTGTGTCATATACTGCTGTGTAGTCTAATCTAAAACAATGCATAATTTTCTACAAACTTTTAAACGCTAATCTAAAAAATAACTATTGTTGAATAAAAGTAAAAGGTACTACAGTATATATATTACATAAAGTAGCATTAAATGGAAATACTCAAAGTGGTACTTCATTGTAAGTTCAGCACATTCTTAGTAACTTTCCACCACTGTATTTTGACAAATTTGATAGTAAGTCATATTAAATTTTTCATGCAACCCATGGAAACAGATGTCACATTTTGTACGTCATTTTAAACAAAATCCTGTCTGTGTGTTTCAAATTTAATCTCTGTGCCCAATAAAGTAAATACTGAAACAACATAAAAAAGTAAAGTACATAAAACTGCAGTCTGTTTTTGAGACTTTTATTTAAAAATCAAACTTGATATAAAATATGCACGCGCTTAGTTTACACTGGCTGATAAAAGCAGCTCTGATGAAAGGATAAAAAACTGTTAAAATCTACTGTCATTAGAACTGTTGCATATATTGTCATAAACTATACAGCAGAGAATGTATTTCACAAACATGTGTATAAATCAGTGTCACACAAACACTCCTAAATCACTGAGGATGTAAAGCTGTCATCCATATCCAAACCATCTCTGTACTTCATACAGTTAAAGTGCAGAGGAGCCGATTAGCCGAGATAAGCCTTCCATTTCTAGCGCTGTATGTCACTAACGTAATCCTTCACTCAGATGAGCAAATGACATTTACGTAGTTTACAATCAGCAGAAAATCAGTTTTCGCACTCACCAGATTTTTAACAGGTTTGGGGTCTGACTTTGGTCATTACAGCAGTTCTTTGTGTTTATTTTAGCATGTTAAAAAAACTTTTTCCCATTTTCCCACACTTTATTTTAACAGAAAAATGTTTGAAGCTCATCGCATCACTCCTCCGACAACTGACCTGACCCCTGCCAAATTTAGTTCCATTGCACCCATCTTGTCCTCCAAGCAGCTTAAAACAAACTACTTGTAAATGCCGTCTGACCCAAACCGGTTTGTTTGTGTTATTCTATGTCTGAGATGAGATAGGATGGGAGACTTGTGGTGGATAGAATTAGGATTAAACTGGGCCTATAAATTATTCTGGAATGGACTTCAAAAAGTGTACACTAGCAGTTTAGCAGGTTAGCGTCTGAAAAAGGGACATCTTATGCTGGAAAAGCCTAATAATTGTCTTTTCATAAAATACACATTGATTTTGTAGTGGTTTCAAAAGTTGGCTCCCTCTCGGTGCCTCTTCCCAATGGCAGGCATGTAAACTGGGGCTGTGCTGGGTCTTGGTCGGGCAGGTTTTATGACCAGAGCTCTGTACCATCCTCCTCCTCCCAGGCTGCCGTCCCCCCCGGGGGGCCCCTCTATGCCAGCTGTTTCCCTTAGGAGCTCATAGCGCTCCCAGCATTTTGGCGAATGGAGGGCGATGCTGCTGTCTTCGTTTGTTTACGGTTATGTCAGTAAGAGCAGAGTTGGGGGGACCATTCAGCCGTGAGTCTGAGTCGCATTCCCAAAAAATTACAGAGCAGCTCTGGCTTCAGGCCGACATGAAATAAATCAGTTTGACCTTTAACACTAAACCTTTCATTAGGGGAATTCCAAACTAATTGCTTTACGATTTTATTGTGACTAAAAAGCATCTCTGACTGAACCTTTGAGAAGGACGTGTAATCCTCTTGGTCTGGCCGTATTGACTTAACAAATTGAGATCTGCTGAGGGGATCCTTCACTGTCATTCAGAGTGACACCACCTGTGTGCTGAACCATGTGCACACTCCGCCTGCCTCTAATGGATCTACACATCAGAAAGGATGTATGTCTTCCACTGGAGCTTGACCTCCTATTTCTGGGTGACTTTGTGCTTTTTGCTGTGTCTGATATGATATCACAACAAGTGATCTCAAGACTAAGATACCAACCTCTAAAGCTTTTAGAATACTTTACTGTTTCCTGCTGTAAAGATAATTGTAGATGTTCCAGGATGGGGGTGTGGTGGAAGTCAACAAAATTGTTTGGGGCTAGGACACGTTTGGAGCCAAGCACGAGTCTCGCAGGCTCGTAGATTCTTGTCCTAAATTTCTTTACTTTAACAAGCTTCGTGTCACCTTTGGAAATCAGAGCCCCTCCTCCTGCTGACTGACACTGCTGAGGTACATAGTTGAGCGTGTTAGGGGCCAGGATGCTGTTTCAGAGCGCGTGCCCATTGCCCACAATTATAAGTATAAAGAAACTGTCCTCATGTTATTGTTGCTCCTGAATGCCGTCAGTCTGCAACTGTTGATGCTTTCTGCCGCCAGTGTGTAAGAGGCGGAGAGTTTTACGGGGCTCCTTTTGTGACTTGCCTGGAGGGCTGTTGTTGTAAATCATGTGTGATTTATAAAAAAACTGGTTCTGCTGTCTGCCAAGTTTCATCTCCACAAACCTCAGAGACGTACAAATAGACTTTGGCCTGCAGCCATACCTCCCTGGAACTTCTTCCTTTACCAAACTGCTCTCCTGTCAACACTCCTCTTCACTCTCATCCCTCCCCCCTGCCCCTGCCTCTGCACAGGGCAGATGATGTTGTTTTCTTTGCTCTTGTCTTTGACTGTCCTCCATGGGAAGTACCTGGCAGCGGATGGATGTGGCAGGCTTTTGCCTGGACACGTCTGTCTCCCCCTCTCTTCTGTCTCCACGGCCACGCAGCGTGAGAACTGCAGTATCCATGGCGCTGAAGGAGGTGTGCTCAGGGTTGGTTATTTCAATGCTGTAGACAGGGGGATTTAGTCCTGAGTGACTGCACTTCTGAAGATCAGAAACAGTAGATCAGCAGAAGCTGAATATTTTCAAAGCCTGGTAAATGACCTCAAGACTTCAAAGTCACTGCATGTGGTTCAGTGAAGTCACTGAGAAAATACAACTTAGTAAGAAAGGCTGACTTGATTTGAAAAGATAACAGTTTTTCTGTTCTTTCTTTCTGCAGGTTTTTTCAATGCATCGCCATACCGCCATGTGGTAATCTTCTCAGCATTACCCAAAAGTCAGTGAACAACACTTTGAGCGGCTGACCACATCAACAGTCTTCCACCTGCACCAGCTGCTCACATGGCCCACCCTTACGAGCCTTGGCTACGGACAGCAACACCTAGTGGCAGCTCAGAAGACATGAACATCCCCTCCTGGTGGGACCTCCACAGGGACGTCCAACCAGGGAGCTGGATAGACCTGCAGACGGGCCAGGGTGTCGGCTTGCCTTCTGTGAGTCCTGGGAGCTCCATGGGGTTGCAGTCCGCTATGGGGCCCTACGGGTCCGACCCGCAGCTGTGCACCTTGTCTCCAGCTCAACACGCTCCAGCCTCGCACTCATCTCACCTCTTCCCCCAGGATGGCTTTAAGATGGAGCCACTGGGCCCGGAAATGATGCAGCAAGAACCGTTCTCTTTGGAGGAACCACAGGAGAACGCCGTCTCAGCCCGCCCTAAGCCCCAGCGCCGCTCCTCTGCCAGAGGCGCCGGCCAGGCGGTGTGTCGCTGCCCTAACTGCGTCCATGCTGAACAGATGGGCCAGAGCACTGACGACAGCAGGAGGAAGCACATGCACAACTGCCACATCCCTGGCTGTGGCAAAGCATACGCCAAGACCTCCCATCTGAAGGCCCACCTACGATGGCACAGCGGGGACCGGCCCTTTGTCTGTAACTGGCTGTTCTGCGGAAAGAGATTCACACGCTCTGATGAACTGCAGCGCCACCTGCAGACGCACACTGGCGCTAAGAAGTTCAGCTGTGCATTATGTCCTAGAGTGTTTATGCGCAATGACCACCTGGTCAAGCACATGCGCACGCACGAGTCCCCGCCAGGACATGGGGAGGATAGGGTAAATGGAGACGGGAGGATGGATAAGGGCTTTGATGCACCTACACCTCCTCAGTCATCCTCAAACGTGTCTGCGTCAGACACCACAGAGCCTCCGCTGAAGCTGAAATGCGAGACAGACCCCTCAGTCTCCAGTGTGACAGGGCAGTCCGGCTAATTTCATAACTTTCAGAAGAATTTAGCAGTTTAAGGTTTCCCTCTCTGTCACAGAGGTGCCATAGATTTATGACAGAATAGAGAATAGAAAAAAGGTTTGGACAAACTTTTACTGATGAAAGTTGGATGGAACAGAAAGTGTTTGAAAGTCTGTGGTCCTGTGAATTTATAAAGTGGACTAACTCAGTGATAATCCAAACGTTATAGCACACATACAAAAAAAAACAGGAACTGTTTTACTGATTCTACAGATAAAACTTTCTTCTGTTTACTTCAAGTGAAGGGTGGCTACGGGGGCAACCAAGCTGAAGCTGCAGCTTGTTGCTGGACTTCCATCGCTGCTAGAGCCACTAATACCAGTAGAGCAAGAGACTAGGATGAGATCAACTGAAGGTGGCTTATTAACTTGTTTACAATGAAATTTTTGTCTCCAACACAGTTTAATTTACCAGTTTCAAAGGCAGCATGCTTTTGAACGGAGAAAGGAGAGAGGGATGTTTTGTTTTTGTTTCAGACTGTCGTTTACTGTGCAAATTGTGATAAGACACTGGAGTATAATACAGCATTTTCTCAATATACAAAGATCAGTAACCATTTGGATGGTTGACAGCTCATACCACAAAACTGTGTGTGTGTGTGTGTGTATGTGTGTGTGTGTCAGTATGTAAGTCATTAAAATGGTGCATAAACAAAGTTAAAAGTACAACAGACAGTAATGCTGTGCTTGTGGCAGCATGCTGTGATGTTGATGTAATACTAATATAATATAATATAATATACTATAATATACCATACTATAATATAATATGATATACAAAATGGGAATTCTATGCACTAAAGGCTAGTATACCAAAAATGATATGTTTCTGTCGCCAACATAGTCTTGATGGCAAAACACTTAATGAGAAAGATCATACAGTAGGAGAATGTCGACACTGGTCCAGTTTATCATCTGGAACACGAAGATGAAAAGTACCATTAAGTGATAATTATGTGAAAAAAGGTAAACTCACAAATCACAACTAATTGAGCCTGAAAACTAAAAAGTGGTCAGACCCGCTGAGGACAGTGACCTCCAGTCCTGACAGGGCAGGTAAGAACAAGAAGATCAAGTTGGGCGTCAGGACCACCAAAGCCGGACAAGGAGAGAAAAATGCTGCTGGGTCAAATGAAACCAAGCTTCTGTTGCTAAATGATGGTGACTGTGATCATGTTTGGCATGAACACTACTCCACATGTCCGCCCAGTCAACACAACAGACTGCGGGTGCTGAACGAAACAGTTTCAGTCCCCTGATTTGAAGCTGTGCTAGTCAATATTTTCATATTAACAAAGCATCAAACGACTTAGTGGTGAACTCAGAGAGAATTGTCACTCAACTCTGTCGCCCCCCTCTACGAAGTATGTTATATTTAAGAGTATTTGAGCTGTTTTCAGCAAAAAATGTAGAACCCGCTGTAGCTCTGATTGCCCAGCACCAAACGTCAGAAAGACAAAATTATCTAATTGCTGGTGAACGTAGTGAAGCATTTAGCATCTAAAGAGCCTGATATTTTGCTCAAGGAATCGGTGAAGACCAACCCAAGCTGAAAGGAGAGTGAATGTCAGGTCTATCAGGTGGCTAGAAACACAAACTTCAAATTAATGCCAACTTGGATCTGTGTCTGCTGGATGTGTAATTAGGCAACTGTTCGCAAACAACTTAACTTTATATGATGTTAATATGTTATTTTCATATTTACAGCTTGATCTGCTGCCCCCAAGTGGCCCAAAGAGAATAATAGCTACTGCTTTTCATATCATGAATGTGAAACAATTCATGCCTTAAAAGGTTCAGGTGTTGGTGGAAGCAGAAGGATGTCCTACCAGTACTATCCAGGTGGACCTCTATTGGGTTTATACAGCTCTTCCAAATACCATTAGCTTGATAACCATTTGCGTGTCGGACCAAGATATAGTCCAAGTCAAGAGCAAAGAATGTGTGAAGGGCTTTTCTCTCAACACATTATATTAACAGCTGGTGGTGTGTCTGTAGTTTATCCATGGTCACTGACGCTGGCGAATCATGTAACAAAACTCTGTCTTAGAAACATGACAACCATTTGACTCTGAATTAGCATGCAGAAAAAGACTGTGTTAGCAGTCCAATAGATTAAAAAAAATGCAGTTGAACAATACGAGAATTTGTTCAGGTTACATGTTTTGAATAGATAACTTTCATAATCAATATTATGTGATCAATAGTTCTGTAGAGAGTGAGCAGCTTTTCAATTGGAAACTATTAGGATGTATGTAATCATCACAGACATTAGGCTGAGATTTCTATATTTTAGGGAGCTTGCATTATTGGAGGCTCAGAATTGCTGTATTTATGTATAGAAGATAAGAAATGGAAGAAAGTGCTTAAACATTAGTCAATTATTGTGTATTGACTATTATTATTATTATTATTTTGTGTTGATGTTATTATTATAGATAGTCTTCTTTTATGTTGGTCAGTAGAACAAGATGAACAACTTTTTTTAATTGGTTACTGTAGTAAATGTTTTAGTTGACTGTAATAAAATAAGTTCTAAAATATTTAATAAGTTGAGTATCATGGTGTAATAACTTGTATTTAATCTATAAGTGTCCTTTATTAAATAAAAAACGATATTATGTGTCCATGTTGAATCTTTGTTTACTAAAGAGAGATGTGCTAATTATTCATTATTCTGTGCAGTTTCATTTTCACTCAAATAAATAAACAGACCAAAATGATGATTATAATTAATATCATTAGCACTATTGCTAGCAGTAGTAGGTCAAGTAGCAAAAGAATAAGTTAATTGGATGCTCTTAGAGCCTGTAAATGTTTGTATCAGATGTGGACAATTTCAATATGAAATTGACTTTTGTGCACAATTGAATATGATTCTAAATTTTAGAATTAGGCTTAGTAGTTTTTTTTTTAATGCAGTAGTTAAACCACTGTCCAAGAGGTTGCCAGATAAATCTGGGGAGTCACAAGACAATTAAAAATAATTATTATAAACACACACACACCACACACGAACACACACATATACAGTATATAGACAGTGTTGGGAGTAACGCGTTACAAAAGTAAAGCAATTACAGTAATGGGAAGCTTTTTGCTGTAAAGCAGTAACATAATAACGCATTACTAAAAAAATCGGTAATATTATACCCGTTTAGGCAGGGTGCAAACTACGGGGGAGCTCGGCTCCTCCTAACAAGACGTAGCTCCCCTGATGGATCATGCGTAAATAGATTTCTGTAGGCTGTGTGTTTGTGCTTTAATGAATTACTTCCATGATCAGAGAGGCTGCTGTCAGTTCCTGACCGATACGCCGCTGAAGTTAGCTTCCGATTCGGAAGTTAAGGGGAAAGTTAAGGTGAACTTAAGTGAAAGTTAACTTACGTTGCTGCGCCACAGATTCTCCGTTTTTTTGCACATCGTACTGTTGCATTTAAAGCAAAACCTTAACGCTGTCTGAAACACTTTTTTAGATTTTAAAAACTTTATTTTATTTGTGAAATTTGGGTGATTTCACTGCTTTTTTCCCACATGCAGACCACATTAGACCAAGTCCAGATCCAAAACCACTATACCTAGAGCTCTAAAATCTGGACTAGATCCTGTTGGAGGTGTTGGGAGATTCAAATAATCAGTGACGTTATGTTGCTGTACCTCGTGCGTAAATGCGCACAGCATCTTTCTTAATAGGGAGAAGATTCATCCTATTTCACCCATGCCATATGTTTTAAGTTGCCACAAGCCAAACAGGTTGGGACCTTTTTATATACAGTCTATGGTTGGGACGCACTGTTGCGCTCAGGGTCAGGGTGCTGCCTTTAGGTGCTGTCAAAAACTGTCGAAGCATCTAGATGACCCTTACAGAAAGCGTCTGTCTCAACAAACTGATGGTAAACACGTTGTGTTTATTTACAACTACCAAAACACGTACACTGACACAACGTTCATTTTTATTAACTGTGACCACTTCCACTTGCAAGTAATGTTGAGACATATCGTTGATTTTTTTGTCCAAGACAGGGACTTGCGATGGGCACCTGAAGGCACCATGAGCTGGAACCGGAAAGTGATTTTTTTTCAAAACAGGAAACAGTAAAATACATCACACAATCCTCGGTGGCTCCATTTTCTAGCTAACGTTGAGCGTTTGTTGTTCCACCTTTTATAGTTTTAAGAACAGATTTCTGTATTTCCATTGTTGTCGGACTGAAACGACTTATTTCTCAAGATGGGGGGCGGCGATCTGGTAAGTACGAGCTATCTAATCCACCATAGGCGCTTTCTTTTATGTTTGGCGACTGTTCCAAGGACCAAACTCCATTCAGAAAATTGGTGTTTAAAGACGTTGGTTTGCCTAATGGGGTCTATACAGAAGCTATAACATGAGTTAATACCTGCTGGGATTTGTTACAAGCCATGGTTCATTTCGGCACCAAAGACCTTTAGTTATTTTAACTTTGGTCTGATCTTATTTTTATATTTTAATAGCTGACACAGGTTGCGTTAGCTTCACGACAGATGATTGAACATTAATGTTAGATGTGAGTCATTTGTACCATGAAGAATATACCTGGAGATGTTATGGATTCCTTGTAGAACATTGTTATTTGTATGTACTATATTTGTCGTCAGATTTCTGTACTCATTCTGTCTACATGAATAATTTTGGTTGGTAGAGTAATATTGGTAAACCCTTGTTTACACTAAAGCCAGTACCCGGTAGTTTCATGCAGAAGCTAAATGTCTTCAACCTTGTCTTCTGCCAGAACTTGAAAAAGAGCTGGCATCCCCAGACTATGAAAAACATTGAGCGTGTCTGGAAAGCTGAGCAGAAACATGAGGCTGAACGCAAGAAGATTGAGGAGCTCCAGAAAGAACTGAAAGAGGAGCGAAGCCGAGAAGAAATCACCAGATTCGCAGAGGAACGCGGTGCCATCAAGTTAGTTATCTGATATTATCTTTAAAGTTGTTTTGTGGGTTAAGATAAAAAAAAAAAGTAGTGTCTAAGTCAAGTTGTATCTCTCTTACTGATGACAGAAAAAAGGATGATCGCCTGGACTGGATGTACCAGGGCCCTGCTGGTCAGGTGTCCAGAGATGAGTATCTGCTGGGACGTCCCATTGATAAGCAAATCACCGACCAATACGAGGAGCCCGAGAGCGGCCCATCAAATGAGACTGGCCTCCTGCCTGGGTCCATCTTCAACCCCGCCACTCCTGCTTCCAACCTCGACCTGGCTGCCAAGATCAGGGAAGACCCCCTGTTTGAAATCAGGTAATGAAGTCCCTTCTCTTGTTATATGTTATGAAAATATGCTTAAAGTTTCAAAAAGGTTTAATTTATGTTTTGTTTGTTTTCTGAAGGAAACGTGAGGAAGAAAAGAAGAGAGAAGTCCTGACTAATCCAGTGAAGATGAAGAAAATCAAAGAAATGGTAAAATGACTGTGTAACTATTTTGATATATTCATTTGTAATAGATTCATTTTGACGACCTCTTAAGATTAAGACCTCTTGCAGATTTTGATTAATAAACTGTAAATAGCCAGCTCACTCATGTCTTTACATTTACACGTATTGGCCTTCTTGGCATCTTTCAATGATGTTTCCACTAGTTTTATCAACACAAGACACCTGCAGTGGTGTTAGAAAAGTGGTACCATGTCAGGATGGGAGACTGTCGGGTATCTTTTATTTACGGTAAAACATGGGTTGGTTTTCTCACAGCTGCGGCAAAATCTCGACAAGAAAGACAAGAAAAAGAAGAGGAAGAAGGATAAAAAGGAGAAGAAAGGAGATAAACAGAGAAGAAAGGAGAAGAAGCACAAGAGAAGGAGTTCAAGCACAAGCTCAGACGAGGAAGACGAGAAAAAACACAGGTATGAAAGGACCGTAAAGGAATAATTGGAACACACTGTATATAAGTGATTTTTGTGTGCTCGACCAGCAAAACACATGAAGTGTAAATGAAAAATAAAATGTTTTCTATAATGGGATCCACACTTTTACTGCGCACAGAGGATATTCAATCAGCTAGTTCAATTAAGAAAACTGTTTTAATTGTCGTCTTTGATCTATTTTTAGGTCACATACACGAGATGAATATTCAGCAGACTCCAAATCGCGTTCCCATCTTCCAGGCTATGGCCTACTGGTCAGTAAGCAGAAAAGCAGTGTTTCATCATGCCGCTGTTATTTTGATCTACCGTTTCAATTATTAATCTCTCACTGGACCAGAACCAAGTTCTAACAGTTATGTGTCGTCCCCCCCCCCCCAGCTCCCCACGGGCAGGCATCACCAGTCCTCTGCTCCCTCCAATCACTCAGGGCGCCGCGAGAGGAGCCGCTCCCGATCGCCTCACAGGAACGACAGGGAAAGTCACTCAAACTCTTCTTCCTCACACAGAGGTGACAGGAAGGTTGAGCCTAGAGCTTCCAGCCTACAGAAAGAGCGTCACCACAAACAGAGGCACCCCGTGTCCAAGTAAGAGTTCACAGGGCTCCAGAAAGTGTAGACACTGCACTTAGAAAGGCTGGCTAGTCCAAAGGCTGACATAATTCTTATTTTTAGATTCATTACTTGCTTACTTATAGAAGTATACCATTCATCTTTCAGTGTGCTGATTATGACTGCAGTCATCTTTTCCTCATTAGATTACAGTGTTGGGAGTTTCCCGTATTTAGTCTTAAAGGCTCTGTCATGTTGCTGCCATGGTATATCCTTGTTTCTATCTTTTTACATATTTTGTACAATAGCTGATTTGAATCATTCTTTTCACAGCTGTTTGTGCAAGTACATTCAATATGTCTTTTTTTCCCCATCAAGCGGTTTGTGTTTCCAAATGCTGGTACAGAACCATAGTTTTAAAAAGATGTATACATGTCAAAAATGACCGTCAGGGATGCAACCATTAATTACTCCACTTTTTGTAATTTTATTATGCTTACTCAAACTATGAGATTTGGGTTAAGGGAATCAGAAAACATTGTTTTTGAACAATAATAATCTGTTTTTCAGAGCATTGTCATATTCACCACCCACACTGAATGGATTGCGGTAATTTTTGGATTTTTAAAATTGATTTTTCTATGTGATGTAGAAAGCTCTCTGCAGAAGAGCTGGAGCGCAAGAGGCTGGAGATGATGGACCAGGCCAAGCAGAGGGAGGAGGACAGGGAGAATAAAGTGAAGAGATACAAGAGGCAAGATGAGCAGGAAAAGCAGCGGGAACAAAATGCCAAACATGACCGCCATGCTGGCTTCATTCAGTAAGTTTCTCAGCAACATGGAAACACAGCTTATCAGGGAGTGTGACATTTATGGACACATGTCTCCTATTCTGTTTCTTCTTGCATGCTTATTCTTAGCTTCAGTAACACTCACCTTTCCCTCTTGCAGTCAGATGAAGCTGGAGAGTGCTGCCAGCTCTTCCTTGGAGGACAGAGTGAAGAGGAATATCCACTCCATTCAGAGGACGCCAGCCTCCCTGGACAACTTCATGAAAAGATAAAGACATTTATCATACAGATAAACCAAACTGAACTGGTTGAAAAGCCTTGAAAAGAGTATTCCATTCACTCCCTCATTAGTCTCCTTAGTGTATCACAGTACGTATTAATGCACT